TTTCTTGGCCTTTTTCTCACCAATGCAGTTCTCCATTTTCTTAAAACTTCATAACAAGCCTCCATGATTACCATGTGTCTCATGAGAAAAATCTATCAAGATTATCCCTTTGTAATTCCACAAAACAGTTCCCATGACTTTTGAAGCTGACCTCTTTTCCTTAAATTTAACTGGCCCAGTGGAGCACTTTTGAAGCCACTGTTTTTATTGGATCTGTTTTTGAAAGGCACCTTAATAATCCGCAAACAAATGCGTTTTGTTTTGTTTTCATCTACAACCATCCATTGATCACAGAAACATGTCTAAACATGTTTTGTTTGGAATAAACCTGTGCAAGTATGAACTGGAATCCTAGTAACAATTATTTGTTGCTTTTCCCTTGTATAGTCATTATTTAATCTTACCTGAATGGGCCTAAAATAGCTAAACACAACTTTTCGCAGTTGATTTCTTGTTTCCTGTGCTGTGCTATTTGTCACTTTTAAAGGCTGCAATCATCAATCTTTCCAACCACAAAGATAATTCTCATCTAGAATGTTACTCAGCTGGTCTCTCACAGGATTTAACATTGCTTCACAGGATCAGATAAAAGGATACTGATTCCTGCATTTTAAAAACCAACTCTACCTACAAGTCATGATGGGGTTGAAGAGGCTAGATAAAGATTTAGACAGAGTGACTCTCATGAGGTACTGAAGTACTCTGTGGGATTTCCTTTCTAATTATTAGCCAGTGAATAATGCTTAAAAGTAGCAAACAGACCTCTACTGGTGCTGCATGCCCCGGAGTCGGTTCTGACTCATTATGACCCTGCACAGGGTTTCCAAGGCTAGATAGCTTTATGGGAGCAGAAAGCCTCATCCTTCTCCTGTGGAACAGCTGGTGGATTCTAACTGCTGACTTTGTGGTTAGCAGCCCAATGCATAACCCACAAGCCACCAGGGCTCATAATGAATTCTGATGGCCAAACTTGTCTTATTCTTTGTTGCTTTGTCTATAAAAACACACTTTTTCTATTCATGGCCACTTTTTATCTATCATTTTTTTAAAAAAAGCACGTCATCTCTGAAGAGATTTCATACAGCCCTGCGTTTATAGAACATGAGACGCAAAATATTTAATCTAGTATTCTTTCTAAGTTGTGCTCTTGGTTCATGGAAAAGCTCCCTGTTGCCTGTACTAAAGTTCATAAATCCATTTAATATGTACAGCAATAAATGACGAAATGCTTTAATCTAGAAAGTCCAAAGTTATACGGATTCACTTTCTAATTTGGTTGTCAATAACAATTTTAACAAAACTCAATGATTACTTTTTCCTTTTCAGTAAAAAACAAAAATTTTTAAACACTGCTAACAGAATTTTTATTATTATTATTTTTTTTAGGAATAAAGCAGTTAATGAAAGGACCGTGTGTCTGACTTCCCCTGGCTTCACAAAAGGAAAAGAGAAATCAAATTCAGAATCAGCCACAGGCTGATTTCTAGGAAACGGAGGTCAGACATGCCTCCACCCTACAACCTTCTTTACCTATTCTGACACCAACCATTCCTCCCACAGCACTCCCTGCTTCGTATCTGGGTTAGATAATCCATTGCAAAGGCCACACAGAACTCACGATTCTGTGGCTTATTAGGGAAGTGAACAGGGTACATACATTTCAGGATGGAAATCTATTCAGGACGCAACCACTCTCCAGTCAACAACACCTCTTGTTGTCATACTGCAGGCACGCCTCACGCTTTCTTTACTTGTATAATCAAACACCCCACTCCCCCCAATTTATTTGTATGTGACAGAAAATAATCGTTTAAGAACTATAAATTAGACTTAACTGCGTATTGACAAATGATGGCAGGCTGAAAACAAATATAGAACTGTATTACTATACACTAAAAGTCAACCCATCTGCACCAGATGATTTCACCTGCTGTTCTACACTTGATTTAATACTGTAATTATTTAAGACTTGAAGAAAAATGTTGTTTTGGTGTGTTATCCCATGAATTCTGAATCACGGGCACCCTAAAGACACAGAAGAACTAGATTTCCCAAGTGTAACCTTTCTTAGAGCTGATCCCCAGGTCTTTTCTCCCACAGAGTTGCTGGTTGGTCCGAACTGTGGAGTTTTGGGTTAGCAGTTGGGCATTTACCAATGTACTACCAAGGCTCCTTTGACTTGAAGAAAGGAAATGTCGAAGAATTTGCAACATCTGAGTGATTCGAGATAATGTACTTAATTTCTAAAAAGTTTACCTTAAAAACTGTGTTTGTGTTGTCTAAGAAGTTATTTTATCAATCATTGACCAATTCAGTTAACAAATACTTTTGCGAAGGCAGGCAGTATTCTGGACATTGACTACGAGAATGAGACAAGACTTCTCTTGCTAGGAGAGTTAAGTACTCGTTCTTTTTGTACAAAGTGTGTGTCATGAGACACGAAATTCTAGATATATTTTTTTTTCGATATTGGTAGTACCTACAACAATTAATCTAACTTATTCACCCAACCCCAAAATTTCAAATCTTTAAAAAGCCTTGTGTCTTTGAAGACAGCTAATTGAAGATTAGTGTTATACAATATAGAATACTGAATGGTCATGAACAATCAAAAAATAAGAGATTTATTTATGTCCAAAAAACGATCTTTTAAGAGGATGTAATTGAGAATAATTTCCAAAAGTAAATGTTATTGTTCCCATAGACCAATATATACAGGAATATGGACTCTATCCATTTAAAAAAAAAAAAAAAATCAGCTTTTAAATCTGTGTTAATGTGTACAACAGGAGCCCTGGTATAGTGGGCTATGCTTTGGGCTGTTAACTTCATGGTTGGCGGTTTGAATTCAACAGCCACTCCACAGAAGAAAAAAAACCCAACACAGGGTCACTGAGTTGGAAGCAACTCGATGCACACAGCAACATAGTAAAACATGTTTTTGTTTTATTTTATTTTTCTTGTATTTCTCTCCAAACTATCTATCACTTATGTAAATGTCTTCTAATTATCAATGACCATATGAAAAATTTACACAGTTGTGATTAAAAACTAATACCTTGTAAAAGACACATCATCATCGAGTAAGTAAAGTGTTCTCTTAAATAATCAACTGCATGAGACCCAACAGTCAACATTTACCCAAAGCAAAGCTGAAAAGACAAGGAGGGCATGGGAGTTAGATGAGTGGAATCAGAACAAGCAGAATGGAACTCATGTGGAACTGATGAGAATGAAGACACACTGTGACAGCTGTAACCAACGGCACTGAGCTATCTATAGAAAAACTGCTAATGGGAACCTCAGTTGTTGTGTAGCGTAATGGTTATGAATCGGGCTGCTAACCTCAAGGTCAGCAGTTCGAAACTGCCAGCTGTTCCGTGGGAAAGATGAGGCTTTCTGCTCCTGTAAAGATTTGCAAACTCTGAAACCCTGTACAGGGTTGCTATGAGTTGGAACCGACTCCATGGCACATCACCACCCCCACCACCAATTAGCTGTGTAAACTTTCACCAAAAACACAATAAAAGGGAAAAGAACGCAAACATCTGGTGAAAATTTAAAGATAATCTTAATGGAATAGTGCAAGTAGTATGAATTTAAAACATACCTGATTACTAGTAAAAGACAGACTTCTCGGTAGGCCAATCTGACTTTCAAAGTCAGAATCAGGTGAGAGATAGAAATCTGGGATTGCTTGATTAGCCAAAGAACAGTGTTTCTGCATAGTTTTTCTGAGGAATTACACATACCTCCCCCTTCCAAAAATAAGTGTGTTATATATAAATTCAGCTTTGGAAAACAGTGCACAGTATTCAAACTTTTTATGTGATTTCTGTGAGAACTGCAAATATTAAAATAATCTAATAAATTATATATAAGAAAACATGCACAAGAACATATTAGATTTTTTAATGGATTAAAATATAAGACAATATATTTATATTTCAAATACCTACTAACTTGTAAGTATATTAAAAGCTTTGATTGTTTACTTAATAACAACATACAAGGCAAGGCTGCTGAGCTGGGATGTGCAGAGCACCAGACAGGATACTCTTGTACAGTAGATGGAGTAGAAACAGGAAGAAGGTGTGAGGACAACAGATTCACTGTCCGATTTGCCAATCAGAGACTACTGTAACCCCTTGCACTGGTACATTACAGTCTTCTGTCATTATCAAAGCCTCTATATACAAACTGACACATGTGTAGCCATGCAAAACCACAAACCTCATCATTTTAACAAATAATCTCATAACCAACTCCTATTTATGGGAGTTAAACAGTGGTTTTCAGAATTGGGTTAGTTTCTTGGCTGGGAGATTATGTGAGGAACTAAACTAACAAGTAAACATCTCAGGTGTTTTGGTAAGGTATGGCCCCAAATCTGCATTCTCTTTTATACAGTTTATTTATTATGGTTAACAATAGTGAAAATAACAATTACCAATAAATATGGCTCATTTTGTATTAATATAGTATAATATTTTAAATGGAAAATGATTAACTGTTACAGAAAATCGTATTATATAAATATGTCAAATCACCAAATCAATAAACAGTTTACATTTCTTTCCAGTGTCTGTGAATATTAACTATAATAGATTAATATTAACTTGAGTTCTTTTATTTATTTGTTTCAATCATTGTAGAGAAAATGTTGGGCTGGTCTGAAAAAAATTTTTCAGGGTTCATTCATTTCTACATGGTTTTAAGATTTTTAAATTTCCATAAGCAGCTAGAGTACTTCATGAGATAAATGTATGTGTAGGGTTGAATATCAAGCAGCAGTAAATCTGGCAGCCGCTGCCAGTAATCAAACAATTACGAAATGGAAAGTACATCTTGTACAAGCTGACACAGCCATTAAATCAGGAGAGCTGCTGGCAGACTTATTGACACTGCAAGAATGACCAGAAAGCATTAATTTCAGCATTAATAAAATGGCAGTACACAGATGACAGCTGCCAGAGGAACTAAGAAATAAGGTTACTGGCCTTGTTAAGCTCACGTCTGATTTTCTCAGGCACAAACTGATCGAGGTAGCGTCTGAAGTGAAGTGCATCGATGGCAACAATCTCAGTGCAACGCCTCTGCCAGTCATCCCTGGACAGGACAGAGAGAGGAGAAAGACAAAGAACAGGTGAAACCACTCACAGAAGTAATACAGTCACACAGGGGCTGGTTTCTGAGACTGTGGCAGACTTAGAGAGTGGAACGTTCGAAAGTCCTCAAGGAAAGAAACAAGCCAGTAGCTACAGTTCTCAGCAAAACAAAAGGTCACGAAAGACCTTTTTATTTTTAGATTCAGAGACATATGCACTGTGGACTGTCAAATATTAAGCAGTAATCGAAAACTATCAGGAGACAACACAACATGACATGCTGTACACAGGAGGTGCATCATTTACACTGAGTCTCAGAGGTTAAAGGATTTTCAGACAAACAAAAGGATTTTCCTCTGATAATAAAAATATGACATGTATGTCTCAAAAGAAGTTCATTCTTCAGCTTTGAGGAATCTGCTCTAAAAAGCTGGGTTTGTAGCATCACCACATAGTGTCTTGGAAATGATCCTGAGGAGTCAAGTATGAGAAAGAATGTATAAGGATTCAGAACATTCTACCTACTGTGAAAAATGGTTTTTAAAATAATGACTGAAACTGCACAGCAGATAATAACAATACATTGCCTGTAGGAACAGGAAAGTCTGGTTGAGATGATAATTTTGGAAGGTGCAATTCCAAATACTTCATTTCTTTATTAACTCACATACTAACATGACAAGCAACTTTTTGCACTGAAAAATAACAGTAGAAACTTTCATGTTAGCCTGTAAGTAACTACTAGGAATAAACATCCATGTAAATAACTGTTTACTGCAACTACATATTTTAAATAAAATAAAGGGAGAAAGAAACATAAGACATTACAAAAAAAGTAAGTTTGAGGCACGGATATGGTTATACAAAGGGGACAGCTGATTCTTCCTGGCACCATGGCATAAACACACAAGCTTTCACGCACCATTTCCGCAACAATTTACCTCTGGTAAAAGACACAAATTTAATGTGGAAACATGGAAGTCCAAGTTTAAAAATAGACTTCAGTAAGAGCTAGAAGATGCAAGCAGCAAAATTCATGGCCGCTTCTGCTGTCAGCTGGCTTGTAGAATTAGGTAAATCAACCAAATTAGGCTTCTCCCATCTACCTAATCTAACAGCTTTCATTAGAACCTGCTCTAATTAGATTTGGAAGTTTAGTATCACTGCTTCCAATTGGCAACTTTGAGGTCAAGAATGGCATAGGTTTTGGGTTGTTTTAATTGGTAATGAACTTACAATAACGAGTTTAAAAAGATAGTTCAAGGGCTGAAGTAACAGCAGATGGGTGAGGCCCATGTTCCTTGTCTTGTAGCCATACAGTACTACCATCAGCCATGACTCACCTCTCACTCACATCTTCATGGTTCTGGGCCCAGCGGTACGTTTCGGCATAGCCCGAATAATCACTGTACTGTTCAGTACCTGAAACAAATCATTTGTCACTGCGGATTTTCAGGGAGATTTCTTTTGAAACCTGTGCCTTCTACATAGTCATTATAAATAAACCTTTTCCTCCTTACTGAAATTATCTCATTGGCAGAAATAAAAAACAAAACAAAAATAAAATAAAACCCTAGTCTTGTTTACTTATTATTTCCCTCAGACACCCCAAAAGCCATTATACTGTTTATCTATAAAGAGTAACTGAATGCCTCCATCAGCATAGAAAACAAAACATGCTGGGAGTCACTGCCTTCTTTAAATGAAAAATGCATACAATGGTGTCTCATAAAAGTCCGCTGACATAACCTGATGGTAAGATCATAAATGTATTGTTGAAAAAATAAATTCTACACACATGCATTCCCTGCTAAGAAAAATAACATTAAAATAAAATCTAGGAGTTGCCTACCAACATGAAAGGTACTTCAAAAGACTTTGTAAAGCCAGAGTAGTATGGCATGGGATAAGAGGGAGGGAAAAATGGTAATTAGCCTTCATTTGAGGAACCCTGGTAGTGTAGTGGATCATGGGCTGGGCTGCTGACCTCAAGGTCAGTAGTTCAAATTTACCAGCTGCTCCGCAGAAAAAAGATGAGGCTTTCTGCTCCGTATAAGATTTATCGCCTTGGAAACCCTATACAGGTTTGTACTGAACTGAAACCAACTTGGTGACACACCACCACCATTCATTTGACAAGACAATGCACAAAATCTCCACATAACATATACTTCTAACTCATCAGGCATGGGCTTATCAGCACAGGTGGTGTCGTAAGTAATTCACTATAATTATGTTCACTCCAATTCCTGAGATCGACTAATAATCACTTCAGTGCTTAAGAATCAACAGCACAATGTCATTCCCCAGGGACTGTTCCTTCCTGACAACATGTCTAAAGTATGAAAGATGAAGTCTCACCATCCTGCTTCTAAGGAGCATTCTGGTTGTACTTCTTCCAACAGAGATTTGTTTGTTCTTCAGGCAGTCTGTGGTACTTACGTATTCTCCAACACAACTAAAATATATCAATTATTCTATAGTCTTCTTTAATCACTGTCCCAACTTTCACATATTGTTGTTAAGTGCCACTGAGGTGGGTCCAACCCATAGTGACCCTGTACAGGGTTTCTGGAGAGCGGCTGGTGAGTCTGAACCGCTGACCTTGCAGTTCAAACCAATTTTTCAGTCAAGCACATTAACTCAGTGCTACACCAGGACTCCCACATGCATAATGTTGTTGTTGTTGTTGAGTTGGTTCCAACCCACAGCGACCCTGTATAGGGTTTGAGGCTATAAATCTTTACGGGAGCAGAAAGCCTCATCTTTCTCCCATGGCGCAGCTGGTAGTTTCCAACTGCTGACCTTGCAGTTCACAGCCCGATTCGTAACCACTACGCTACCAGAGCTCCTTTAAATGAATATTGTTGTTGTTGTTGTTAAGTGCCGTCGAGTCGGTTCCGACCCATAGCGACCCTGTACAGGGTTTCCGAGGGTGTAAATCTTTACGGGAGTAGAAAGCCTCATCTTTCTCCCGCGGAGCGGCTGGTAGTTTCGAACCGCTGACCTTAAGGTTCGCAGCCCGATTCGTAACCACTACGCTACCAGAGGCTATTGAAAATACTATGGCTTAGGTCAGGCACACTTTAGTTCTCAAACTGTTATCTTTGCTCTTTAATGCTTTAAAGAGATCTTGTGTAGCACATTTGCCTAGTGCAATACATTGTTTGATTTCTTGACTGCTGCTTACATGAGTGTTGATCATCAATCCAAGCAAAATGAAGTTTTTGACAACTTCAATCTTTTCTCCACTTATCATGTTATTTATTGGTTCAGAGGTGAGAGTTTGTTTTCTTTACATTGAAGTGCAATCCATACTGAAGGCTGTGGTCTTTGATCTCCATCAGTAATTAAGTTTTTTAAAAGTCTTCTTTGTTTTCAGCAAGTAAGGTTTTAACATCTGGACATCAAAGGCTTTAATGAGTCTTCCTCTAATCCTGATGCCATGTTCTTCTTCATCTTATCCAGCTACTAGGATTACTTGCTCAGCAAACAAACTGAATTGTTGTTAAGTGCCATGGAGTCGGTTTTGACTCACAAAGATGTTGTATAGGGTTTCTGGGACTTCAAATCTTTTGTGGGAGCAGAAAGCCTCATCTTTCTCCAGTGGAGCATCTGGTGACCTTGAACTGCTGACCCTGTGGTTCACAGTCCAGTGCTTATTCTACAGAGCCACTGTGCTCCTTACAGATTGAGTAAGTATTTAGTATCCCCTAGGCTAATGTGTCAGACTGAAAAGTCGTTTGAACTGCAAGGTTGGTGTTTCAAGCTCATCAGCTGCTCCTTGGAAACCCTATACATGGTCGCTATAGGTTGGAATCTACCCGAAAGCACTTCACAACAATTCTGTTAGAACATGAGGGAAGCTTTCTACTCCCTTAAAGATTTACAGCCTCAGAAATCCTATGCAGGGTCACTATGAGTTGGAACTGACTCCATGGCACACCACTACCACCACTTCTGTTAGATGACTACATATTGGCTTATGTACAGGCTCCTCATGAACACTATAACACTATCAAGTGCTCTGGAATATCCATTCTTTGCAATGTTATCCATAGTTTATCATGACCCACACAGTTGAAACTCTTTACATAGTCAAAAAAGCACAAGTAAACATCATTTTTTTGTGACTTGTTGTTAAGTGCTATTGAGTTGGCTCTAATCCATAAAGACCCTGTATAGGGTTTCGGAGGAGCGACTGGTGAGCATGAACCGCCAATCTTGCAGTTTAAATGGACTTTGCAGTACAGAGCATTAACCCACAGAACCATACCACAACTCCTTTTTTGACTAGGCATTAGTTAATAGTACATACTCTATCAAAATGTTAAAATTTGCTAATTTTGAAAACTATGCTGCCCTTATATTCGAAAATGTCCTAATTCTTAGGAAATACACAATAGAATATTTAGTGGTATACTGCCTTCATGAGGGAGAGAAAGAATCACCAAGGTTGATTTCACGTCACAGCGGTCACATATACCTCCTGGTCTTTTTCTTGTCTAGGTAATTTTCAATTTCCTTAAAATTTCTTAATAATGAGCCCCTGTGATCATCCTGTGTCCTTTGAGAAAAGTCTATCAAAATTATCCCTTTGGCATGCCAGAAGAGTCCCCATAATCTTGTGATCTGATTCTGCCTCTCACTAACCTGGTCCAGCAGATCCTCTCTGCAATCAACAACAACATAGACTACCGGTGTGAATGGGATAGTGCAGACCCTTTGGAAGACAGTTTGGCAGTTTCTAAAAAGGTTAGCTTCTACCATGTAATTCAGTCATTGTACTCTCGGGTATTTACCCAAGAGAAAGAAAAGCATATGTCCATATAAAGATTTGTGCACAAGTGTTCACAGCAGCTTTAGATGTAAGAGCCCCAAACTAGAATCAACCAAATGTCCGTTACAAAAAGTACGAATATACAAATTGTGGTGTATCAATATGAGCAGTGCACTATTCAGCAAGAAAAGGAATGGGATATTGATACATGCAACAACAAAGATAAATCTTAAATTAATTCTAATGAACACAAACAAATAGAAGGAGAATAAGAGGGTAAATAAAATACTGGTGAAAATCATAGAAACTTTTATTGAACAAACGTATCAAACTGTGAAGCTCTTGGTTTGCAACATTTCTTCTAGGTCTGTTGTTAAGAGCTGGGGAGTCAGTTCTGACTCACAGCAACTCTGTAAATGGTTGCCTAATCTTTCCCCAAAGAATTCTATGCACTTTGTTTTACACCATTTCAAAATGGCCGTTTCGGCATCCTCAAGGGACTCAAACAGTGTTCCTTTTAAATATGGTTTGAGTTTGGAGAGCAAAAAGAGGTCTGAAGGGCAAGCTCAGGGCTGTAAAGTAGATGAGGTAAGGTTTTCCAATGAAATTCTCATAGGACAGCCTTTGCTACCCTTGAAGAATCACCATTGTCATGATGGATAAAAAGTTCTCAGTGCAAATTCTCTGGTCTTTTACTCATCAATGCAATTTTCAATTCCCTTAAAACTTCTTAATAACGAGCCCCTGTAGTCATTCTGTGTTCTTTGAAAAAAAATCTTATCAAGACTTTTCCTTTGGCATACCAAAACAAAGTCACAATAACCTTGCGGTCTGACTTTCTGACTCCCATTGAACTGATCTAGCAGATCCTCTCAGAAGCCACGGTTGTTTTGAAGGCACCCTAAGAGTATTGTTGAGAGAACTTGCCTGCAGCCATCCACCGATTATACAGACACATTTAGACAGGTTTTGTTTGAAACAAAATCATGCATGTATAAGACCTGGAATCATAGTAGTAATTTTTACTTACCCTTGTATATTGTTAGTATTCTATTCATGCAAAATTCTAGAAAATGCAGATTAGTCTTTAAGGCAAAAGACATACCACAGGTTTGTTTGGAGATGGGAAGTACAAAGGGGTTAGAGCAAAGGGTTACAAAGGGCCACGAGAAAACACTGGGGATGATAGATACTTTCACTCTATTAAGTGTCAATTATGCCTCCATAAAGTTGTTTTTAGAAACTGAAATTAAACTACCTTCACTAGACTACCAACTCCTCAAGGGCAAGGATCATGAATTATGAATGTTTGCACCTACAGCTACAACACAAGAATAATAAAAGAAGTTGCATAAAGATTTTCTGGAAAAAAAAAATGAAAACAGGAATAGCACTATTTTACTGGAGCTAGAATAAGTACAGAAATAGTTCATCAGAAAGTATTATGCAATTGACACATGTAGAAAATCATTATCTATAAAACAAGCAAGGTATGGTAAATAGAGCACCACACTGATTAGAGACACAAAACAAGTCACTAAACTCCACTGGACCATTTGAAAATCAAGGTTGCCAGTAAGTCTTACCTTGGTTACATCACAGAAGTGATTGGAAAATAAAACTTATTTAAAGACATGCTAAA